AGCATCTTCTAAAAATGGAGATTGATGTGTCAAAGTATGTTCTCATAATGGAGATAGATTTGTCAGAGCATCATAATGGAAATAGATTTGTCAGAGTATTTCTAATAATGGAGATTGATTTGCCAGAGCATGTTCTCATAATGGGGATCGATTTGTCCGAACATGTTCTCATAATTGAGATTGATTTGTCAGAGCAGGAACACATAATGAAAGTCGATTTGTCATAGCATGTTCCCATAATGGAGATATATTTGTCAGAGCATGTTCTCATAATGGAGATCAAGGTATACTTCAAGGCTACGAGGACTAATAACGACTGAAATCATCACATGACAAGCTCTGGGTTTATAACCAGTTTCGTCATGTTCCTGTCTTTGACAATGATTTATAAATCTAAATATGACGAGCCAAGCGTGCATAATAGGACATATTTACACTGTTAATGCACCTATAGTTCAATTACGTTTAGAGTTCATACAATTGTTTTGCTCAGTATGTTTTGTCTATATTTGACCGCAAACATATATTCAAATGGCATCCGCATACTAATTTCATAATTATAATTCATAAATGATAAATGACTGAATTGGTTATATTCCTGAGACTTTTATAAGGTTGTAACAGGCGACTGCTTCACCATAGCTCAATACGCCCACTTCAGTTGTGAGATAAGTGCCTTGGACAAGCTTTTACTTATCATCTTACTAGTATATCGGTAAAATACTATTTGCTGAGTGGTGCAATTTTTTTTAGTGTTATCTATATTTAAGTGGAGGATGTTGTTGAATATATTTTTGAAAGTCATACTCTCAAACATTTTTGACCGCCTCACTTCCTTATCGTTTCCATTATAAAACTGTACTTGACTCCAGTTTCAAGAGAGTTTTGTGTTTTTGTCTTCCTGCAGATTTAATCCTTTACTAATAACTACTTTTTGACCCTTGTACATTACAACGGGTATTGCACTTCAAAAAGGATAGGATATCTTGCAGCCTCTGATATCACAACATTTTTAGGAGTTCCCATTGCTATTGCTCAGTCGTTACTGTTGTTTTCCTGTATCGCCTACGATAGTACTCAGTCTGTCTCGCCTAAGATAGTAGGTGGGCATTATATTATGTTTTTCGGTCAGTGTGTCTGTCCGTTTGACTGACCGGTATCAGGTTAAAGGTTTTGGTCAAGATATTTAACCCTGAAGTTGTCACACCAACTTGAAACTTAGTACACATGTTTATTATGATGTAAACTTTTAAAATTATGTGCCAAATTAGGGTTTTGATTGTTCACCGGACACCGAAATGTGATAGTGGGAGCAGGGCATGTTGTCTTATGCACACATAGTCTGGTTTTATTTTGAACTTTCATTTGTCTGTTTTGAGGTTGTACTGGTCTTCAAATCTTTCATTATTATCTTTTTTTACTTTTTTTTTAAACAGTCACTTTCATATGTACTCTTTTATTCTCTTTTTTAGAGAACACAAAAGCGGAACCACTGCAACAAACAGCTTATTCATGTTCTGCTTAAAATGTATCCGGTACAAAACAATCTGGACAGTTACCTATATAAATTGGAATAATTCTTGCTTGCAGTGTAAAGTCATTGTATTCCTGTTTTGAATAGACCATTACATTAGTATCCAAAATGTATGCACTAGTTAAAAAGTCCTATCTTTATCTTCCAATAGTTTTTAAGATCAAAAAATTTACACAAAGCTAAATCAGAGCCATCCCTGTCTCAAACGTAGGTTGAGGTGACCCAACTATTAAACAGAAACCAAACAGCACAATACAAGAAAAGATGTGTATCCTGTTTGAATGGAAATTGGTGTTCTGAATTTTCTTGTTTTGAATAGTCCAAAATATGCTTGATATATTTGCAAGCAAACATAATATAAACTTGTTTCGAAACAAGTTCTTCTTTGTATTATTGTACCAAAGAAATTTTGCTGTGTGATGGTTCCCATTTCTATTCCAAATAAAGAGCTGTGCCATCAGCTCTGCCTCATGATACGCCCATCACCAACTGGACAGTTTTTGACAATTTTTTCCATAATAAAGTTCCATAACTCCGCAATGTCATATCAGAAATTTATAAAAAAAACTAAAGGGGGCTTATTTCAATAGAAATGAACAAGTCACCAAAGTTTCATGATAACTACTAAAAGCGTTTTTGAGTTATTGTCTGAAATACTGGAAAATCCCCCCTTTTTTATGAATAAAGTCCCAAAACTTCAATACGTAAAATCAAAAGGGAAACTTATGTGAATATATATAAACAATTCACCAAAGTTTCATGACAATTTTTGTTCAAAGCATTTTTGAGTTAATAGTCAGAAAAGTGGAAAAATCCCACATTTTTATGAATAAAGTGCCATAACTCTGAAACGTAAAATCTTAAATTTATAAAAATCGATAGGAAGCTTACGTTAATACATATAAACAATTCATCAAAGTTTCATAAAATTTGGTGAAAGCGTTTTTGAATTACTGTCCGACATGTTGACAACGGACGGACGGACAGACAGACAACGGTATATCATAATACCTCCCATAAACGGACGTATAAAAAGGCAGAAATGGGCAAGTTTTACAATATTCTCTTTTAATTCAGGAAAAATAACAATTGAGAACTCATTCTCCCATTCATATTCCAATCAAGCAGTTTTTAATCAAATTTAGCACACAAAAAATGTTTACCCCAAATGTAATAAGCCACCGAAATCAAGTTAACAACATCAAATGTCACACAACAACCCTGAGCAACAACCACTTAAACTACTCAGACAGCAAGGACACTTGAAAGGTGGGGAAAACCCCATTTCAATGAAAGATGAAAGACAATCAATTGATATGCATGTACTTTTGTTCTTTGTTAAATTTTCATGCTTTTAAGGCTTCAAAAACAATTTTAAATTCAAACATAAGAATTTTGATATATTAAAGTCTAAAATCTATATACAAGTAAATAGAAAAAAAGTTTTGTATAAAAGAATTTCATGCATCAAGAGAAACATTGTATTCTATTAAACAAAAATCAATAAATGACATTTTTCTCTTTTTGTTTATTTAGATGATTGTAATATGCTATAATGATCTTTTGTAAACAACTGACCGAATACACAATACATGCACATAAAAGGAATGTCCTCTTTGGAACATAAACCCAATACACAAAACCACATGAAAGGATATCCTCTTTGTAACATAACCCCAATACACCATACATCAGTGAAATAAGATAAGTGGAATTCTGTATGTTCAAAAGTTTAAATTTCTTTTTTATAAAATGATTGGTAATTAAAATAATAGTATTATAAGTAAACAATTGATGTCATTGTGAGTTCTAACCTTAAATACAACAATTTAAATCTATTAGAATCATTTCTCTTGCTTTAAAACCTTTGAAACCCAGACAAAAATATTCCTGACAAAGGAATTTTAATCCTGTACAAAAATAATCAATATAAATATATAGCAATTTAATATGATTGTTTATTTGTGGAAATATTATCAAATTAATTGTTTTTGGCTAAAAAATTTACAAATGATATGGAGAACGTTTTTTACTTATTTTTTTTAATTTTAAAACTAATTTAACATGAATATTTGAGACTTCAATACATCTACTTATGGTAAGAATATTTAATCTTTGACTTATAAAGGTCACATTACATTAAATTATTGTACCAGGTTAATCAATTGAAATACTTAAAAACATTTCAACATTGTTCTAGCTAGGATTTAAGGATATATAGGGGCACAATTTTAAGATGAAGGACACATTATCTAAGACTTCTTGTTTTAAAAGGGACACTTGATCATGTTTATAGTTTAAAATTGAAATGGTTGAATAAATAAATATAATTTGACTGGATTGATAGTACTTGGGGAGGTAAAAAAGTTTTTTTCCAGTATTTACATGCAAATGATTTTTAGGCATTGAAAAGTATTTATTTTCTTCAAAAACAAAAAGCACTGGACAGGATTATAAATGTAGAAGAGTACACAGAAAGGGCAGAGAGGACCTCTTTTTAAGGCAAGCTATGACCCTGATTTAATAAGTAAATCAACTAAATTTGTTCAGACATTAATAAATGCCCCTGTCTGATGCCATATTGTTAAATGAAAAAAAGTCTGAGGAAGTATAACTTTCATGAATTTTCTATTAAAGTATCATGGCTGTAATTCTGTGAAAAGTATGTCACAAAACAAAATGTGAACTAAAACTGTTCAAATTGAGGAAGGACAAAATGTTGGCATGACAGATGGAAGGACAGAAGGAAGAATATTCGAACTATATATACCTTGTCTATTGTGTGGCAGGGCAAAACAAAATTTGAAGATTATACTGCAGATGTGTACATTTTTTAGGAATAGAAATGGACAAATGGCCCCAGAAAGAAAAAAAAAATAGGACTTATTGCTATAAAATTAGTGTTATTATAATAAAAGGACTACTTAACATGCATGACAAGCCAAACTTTAGAAGTCCCAAATCAACACCAGAATAAGTCTTGTTTATAGAAGAAGAAGAAACTTCAAGGGAAATGTATAGAAATGTTTTTGTATGAGTGGGTGATTTAACAATATATATGTCCCAGGTTTTACATATAATTTATATCATTATGAAGTGAACTATCCCAGTTAATCCTAAAATTCGATTTTTTGAAATCACAGGGTATGTGAGGATCCACCATCTTCAAAAACTACAGTGAATTGAAACAGTTTATTTTAGTATTGCCTTTGCAGTAACTTGTAACAATTGAAACACATAAACAGATCAAATGAATGTTTTTATTCAAGATTGCCAGAGTTATCTCCCATTTCAACTCTTTAAATGAGGTTGCAATCAAGAATATGTCAATGATTGACAATCTAATTATAAACCGATCTCTCATCGCTCCCGTTTTCTCATATATCGCCATATATGTATATTTTATCTAGATTGGAAATATGTCAAACATAATTATGTACTAGTAATAAAAAAGAAATTCAAGAAGTTGTGTAAAATATATCTTTATTGAACAACAATATATATGTTTACCATACCAATAACCTGTGCAAATACATGTACATATATCTTTTTTTTTAAATAAATTATAAACTATGTATATTGGACACTTTTTGAACATGAGATTCAATCATTATGTGCCATACACGATATACCGGTATACAGTAAAATTTCTCTTACACTCACCAGATCATATTAATATGTTCTGTAGTTATAAAACATGATTATTATAAATTATATATATAATTTTTTTGATATTCAGATGCAGCTTAACATATTCTAAATGCACACAAATTTTCATGAAAATCTGAAATACTTCACCTTACTAAGGAAAAACCAATTGTGATTTAGTTATCAAGGATTCAGTCATACATAATCTACATTACAGGGTCTTAACATAAATCTAAAATTCGTGGTGTTCTGACTATCAAAGCTCAACTTGACTATTTCAAAAAGGATACATGTTCAATCAAAAGTCATAAAAAATAAAATATTTACCATTCATCCTTCTTCCATCATCAGCTTATAAATAAAGAGCAATTACAGACACGGACACAGCTTCACACACAACAAGGAAGTCTGAATAAATGTAAACGAAAAGCAAAGCAAAGCTGGACACAGAAATGTGCTTGACGCATTAGATTGTAACACACAATTATAATTCTTAAACAGCCTTATAAGTCTGGGAAACACCATAAGTTACAGAAAAAAAATTGTTAAAATCAAAGTCAATTTTATGTGTAACTATCATGTATAATAATCGATTACATTATATTAGCAAAGTAATCGTAATATCATCGATAACTTTTTAAAGTATTTAACCCCATCCCTGATCAAAGAATGATTTTTTGGAAGGAATTCCGGAGATAAACACTGACTTTAATTTTTTTTGAATTTTGGTCTCTTTTTCAAACCTTCAACATCTTTCACCTCATAAACATGAAAGCTAGGCCAAACTGAATAGAAAATTTCTAGCAAGAGATGCAAATTAGAACAAAAAATAGTATTAAAAAAACATCAAATATAGTAAAATAAAAATTTCACATTACTGATTTGGACCCTTTTTTATAGAAAAAAAAGATGCTATGAAATTTTACTCACTTTATAATAAATAAAAAAATAAACTGGATGATAATAATTTCAAGTATAAATATTCCCTTGAGGCTCTTGTCTGAAACAGGTTTTGAAACATTATCATTATCAATACTATCCTTCCTATAATGGCTGCTGATGGTATATACTGAAAAAAGAAAAAGAAGAAGACAAGAACAAAAGATTTAACTCAGAAACCCTTAATGTGAATACTAGAAATCTAATATTTTAATCTTATTTTTGTTTTCGTCAAAAGAAAATAAAAGAAGAATGTGTCTGAGGACACAAATGCCCCCTGCTGAAGCTTGCTTATAATATGCTTATAACTTTTGGGACAGACAGAATGACGGACGGTCAAGAGTAAAACTTAATGCCCAATTTGCTCAGTGGCAGGGGCAAAAAAATTGAAGCAATTTTTGTGCAGCGGTCATAAAAGTCTCACAATCTGGTTACTTCAAATATTTGAAATGAATGAAAAATTAATGGTAAGTGAAGTTCTGCAACTTTGATAAAATTCTAATGTCTACCGTAAACATTTACAGCCATGGAGAAAACAAAATGACAGGAATTTGGCCAGTGAACACATTGGTAGAGTTAGTACTTCTATTTGGTGCAGAGATAAATTCAAATGTAACATTACCGCATACTACTTTCTTTCTTCCACGCTCACCATAGAAACTCTTTGGACCAATCATTTTCACAACAATTGTATAATACGAGCAAGAAAGGATTTTCAAAGGTTGATCAAATAAAACAGGAAACAGAAATCTCCCTTCTGCCGAACTTTCAATGGTGTCTTCTGTACGATGTACGCATGTTAGCTGATTATCGCTTTCATCATAAAGTTCTAATCTGATATCATATGGGGCACCAGTAAGTCCTGATCGGTACATGCAGACGCCATGCATCAATATTGGAACACTACAACTGAAAGATACAGCATCCTTTTTGCCCTTTTGAACCCAATCACTACTATCAACCATACCTTTAAACCTCTTACAATGTAAACATGTTTTCTTACTTCTATATCGTGAAATAAACGGAGTAACTGCTCCTGATCTGCTCTGACACAGGTATTTGTATAAATTGAGTTTTTCTTCAGGTGATAATATTTGTTTCTCTGAAACATGATCAGCGAAATATGATAAGGGCATCAATGGAAATCTTACATGGTACAAAATATTATTTAGTATTTCTCGTTGGTTTTGATCATTCACTTCTATCTTTTTCTTTATACATTGGTTTTCTGACCACAATACAACACATTCATATACAATTTTTTCATCTGCATTCAGTGCATCTGAAGCAACAATATCTTGCATACATTTCTCGCAAAGATCTTTAATGCAGCTCATTTCTAGTATTTCTTCACCGTTCTTCCAAATAAACTTTAGACACTCTTCGTATAAATCTTTCTCATCAAATGCATGGGATTGTTCTAAAATTAGGCATGCATTGTCAAAATTGATATTGTCTTTGAGGAATTGTTTACATATGTCTTCAAGGCTATAAATAGAATATTTCTTGGCCGCATATAACAGTGCCATTACAGATTCACTATCAACAACAGAATCATCATCACAATACAGATAACTGAAATATATAAATCCATACTGTAATTCAGAAATTTTTGCATGCATTAATTATTGCGATTGTAAACAATGAACAAAAATGCAAGATAAATATTTACATACAAATAATGCTATCAAAATTTAAAATGTGAGCTTTTATTTTGGCAAAAACCTTATCTGTCACAATTTTCTAAATATGAATAAAAACATTGCAAACATTTCTCAGTAGTATAGCAGCATAATTCTCTCTGTGGTATATACTGGTAATCAAAAGTTAGCTTACAATGTCACACGATACTAAACTAATGCAATATTACTTAACAATGGTGACATTGACAATAGTCAAACATGACGTCTCTTGAAAATTTTCCATACAATAATATGGTACTTACTCCAAATCATTTGACAATGCAGGTTATATAATTTACAATCTAATTAAAAACCAATCTCTCATTGCCCCTGTTTTCTGATATGTCCCACGCGACATATCAGAAAACGGGAGCGATGAGAGATTGATTTTTAATTAGATTGTATAATTTACAACTACATATTGTTTTGGTTTCTGGAGAATACTATATTATATATTCATAGGCTTAGATGAAAAACGTTTTAAATTTTAGAAAGCACCTGGTTAAATGATATCTAGTTTGACTTTGTTCTGGAGTGTGTGGGTTTCTGTACCACACACAAATAAAATATCATTTACAATGTACCATCATGGGTTTCTACGAAATGGACTTAAACACAGAGGTCTAAGTGAATCTGGATGAACAAAAATAAACCATTCATGGTGCTGTTTAAAAATGTTCTCTAAATATGTCAATTGGAATTGAGAAGATTTATGAGTTTTCCTGTTTGTCTCCCTTACTTACCTTAATAAAAATTGAAAAACATCAGGTTCAATATCTGGTACACTAATAACATCAGAGCTCTCTGCTACTGGTCCACAAAACATTGCATAAAATACTGGTGACCTGCTGATTAATACATATTTATGAGCCACAACCTCTTGACCTTCAGAACCTAATGCAAAGGTTATATCACACGCTACTTTATTTTGTAGCATGAAGCTGTTACATGAAGAGACAGTTGATCTGGTTCTCCAAACGTTTGAATCCAATAGAGGGCACTGCTGCTGGTTTTCTTCATCAACTTCCATGTCTATATATATCTTTTTCCTGAAATAGAGGTAAAAGTTCTTACAACTTTATTGACTTCTGTGAAGTGGGAATTTTTCCCAAGATCAAGGTTTATATTCGCTTATTTTCCTATGATTAAGATAGAATCATGAAATATCCCCTGAAGTAATTTGATCTTTCATGTCTATATGGAATATAAGAACATGTAAATTTGATCTTTCAGGAATATAAGAACATGTAAAGGAGTATGTTCATTAAGGGCCATATTTTCACGATTATTAAGTTCAATGTTTCAAGTTAAAAAATGTTTTAAGTTGATGTAAAGACATGTGAGAAAGTTAAATAGAACTTTTTTGTCCAAGTTTTATTTCAAAGCGTTTAATTCTACATCCCAAATAGGTGAAAAATAGATTTTTACAATATTTGACAAATTCTTACAGATTTCAACCAAATTAAGGTCTAGGAAGCATAGAGCCCATGCGTCAACAAACTTAATATTCAAGTCAGATATGCAAAATGTAATAACACACATCATATGAAAAAATAGTTTTTGTTGACGCATGCAATCAATGTTTCCTGTCTAAAAAGTTAATGGAAATTTACTTGTTTTTATTGAATTTTTGTGAAAAATCAAAATCAGTGCTATTTGTGACGTCATGAATCAAACGCAAGTACGAAAACTTTAGAAAAAAAGACATATTTTCTATCTAGTCATCGTATTAGCTATGATTCATTGTGATCGGTCAATAAGTCCTAATTTGAAATTGTAGCTAGAAATAGGGGCCATTTTATGGCCTTATTGAACCTACTCCTTTGATCTTTCAGGAATATAAGAACACCTAATGTGATATTTCAGGAATACAAAAACACGTAAATTTGATCTTTCAGGAACATAAGATCATGTTAATTTGATTTTTTAGGAATATAAAATACATAAATTTGATCTTTCAGGAATATTATAAAGAACACATAAATTTGATCTTTCAGGAATATAAGAACACATAAATTTGATCTTTCAGGGATATCAGAAAACATAAATTTGATCTTTCAGGGATATCAAAACACGTAAATTTTACCTTTCAAGAATATAAGAACACATAAATCTAATCTTTTAGAAATATAAGAACACATAAATCTAATCTTTTAGGAATATAAGAACACCTAAATTTAATCTTTTAGGAACATCAGAACATGTAAATTAGATCTTTAAGGAAAATTAAAACTCATGAACAAGTCCGGTCCAAGAAATTTCAAAATTTAATTTTAAACTCCATGAAAATAATCCATTTTACAGTAAACATATAAACAAATGTGCCTGTCTTAAGTCAGAAACCTTGTCACTGGTTGTTTTAATCTATGTCTTACTGTTTTATGTCAGTTAAGGAATATTTTGGTAAGATCAAGGTCCACTTGTCAGGGAATTATAACAGTTTACTGGCCTCGGTAGTAGGATTTGTTAAAAGTAAATACTGCATATGCACAAAAAAAAAATCTTTCAACTAAAGAGTAATTTAAACTATTCGACAGAAGAAATGAATATGGCCATGATGCATCAAGATACATGTGTGTGTGTAAAACCCTATCATTTATACGTTCATCATGAGTACAAATCTAATTTGTACTGCCGCAGATTTGTTTGAACTGAGTGACAAGTACACCAAGCTTTACACTGGAATTAATTCAAACCAGACTGCGGCCCTTACCTGAAGGTTAAAAGGAAGGATGTGTAAAAAAGGGCCTGCTGCATTGGGTTGGTTCCCTAAATGTTACAGGGTTATGATATTATTTGTAAAATCATTAGAAAAACATTCAAGTCTTAAGGTTGCCAATGACAGGAAATAGTTGTTGCAGTTAATTATTAACGAATATCCAACACATTCAAGTTTTAAAATTTCATTCCATACCAAAGTACTAGTATAACAATGGGCAATGTCAGCATTACACTAGGACTCTATCTCTATGTTTGTATATGTATGTTCTCTTTAGTTCTATCTGGATGTTCTATATTTACAAAGTTTACAACCAATTATTATATTAAATATTAAAAATAGACAATACTCAATTAACAAAACAATTAAGTTTGAAGAAATACTCTATTTAAAATGACATTTTATAACCTTTAGCCATAAGTGACAGCATTCACATTAATTAATATAAAAGATAATAATAATTACTCATATAATCTCATTCTTCTCATTTTCTCTCTACATCATTTTTCACTCTTTTAGTCAGAATTAAAAATTGCAGTCGTATTAATTTCAGTATTTTCACAAATAAATAAATCTGATTAAGATAACACATAATTTGACTTGACATGTAATTTTCTTAATTTGTACAACTATATTTTTGTAAAAATCCAATTTCTAAATAAATAATAAATTTAAAGGTCCAAATTGGCGTTAGCCTGGTGACAGATGAACAAAGTTATAAAGTATGTAAACTAACAAAGTAAGGAAAAACTCAAGATTGGTGTAAGTTTAGCATATATTTGATTTATAATAGGCTCCATTCTGTTGAGCATACAGTTTCCCGCAAATTTGATTACCAAATTAGAGAAAATAATGATTATGAATAAAATAAACATGCAACAATAACCTTCGGAATGTTCGGGAGCTCTTCGGGAATGAAAGGACTATAGCACCTGCCTCATACTATGCCTACTATTATTTATGAAAATGACTGAAGGAATATTCTGTAATTTAAAACACCTCATTATAATTGATATTTGCAAAGCTGTATGTGTGTTTAGACTTCAGACCCCTATTTTTAGATCTTTTAGAGGTGTAAGACAGGGTGATGTATTAAGCCCCAATATTTTTAAGTTGTTTTATAAATGATCTGCCAGAAGCATTTTCATTATGTACTGACCCTGTTGATCTAAATGACAACAGAATTGATTGTCTTATGTATCTATGCAGATGACATTGTTATTTTCTCAGAAACACAAGATGGTTTACAAGAGAGAATGGATAGGTTACAATTATATTGCTCAAAATGGTGTTTAAATGTAAACCATAATAAAACAAAAGTTTTAATTTTTAACAAAACCAGGAAAACATTCCCACTGTCCCAGTTAGGGGGGGGGGGGGGGTTGAGCGCTCACAAACATGTTTAACCCCGCCACATTCTTAATGTGCCTGTCCCAAGTCAGGAGCCTGTAGTTCAGTGGTTGTCCTTGGTTCATGTCTGTCATATTTGTTTTGTTATAAATTAGGCTGTTAGTTTTCTCAATTGAATTGTTTTATATTTTTCATGTCAGGACCTTTTATAGCCGACTATACAGTATGGGTTTTTCTCATTGTTGCAGGGTTTACTGTTGTCTTCAATTGCTTATACATCCACGTCATTTGAACTTTGGTGGATAGGTGTCTCATTGGCAATCATACCACATCTCTTTATTTTTATATTTGTCAATGATAGTTAAGTGCCCCTTTTTGATCAGCTGGTAAGCCAGTAGTTTATTGGGTCAGTGGATCAATTCCTAGTGGCACAGTGATAACTTTTTTAAGGTGAACCAAGGATTAAGATTGTATTATCTTATTGATAAATTTTGTTGTAGATTCCTAAAGCATGCAGATTAATAGGACACAGAATTAATCAAGAAAGTTGAGAAATTTTGATTACCTTTTATAGCAGACCATACGGTATGGGTTTTTCTCATTGTTGAAGGCCGTACGGTTGCCTATAATTGCTTACATCCACTTTATTTGAACTTTGGTGGATAGTTGTCTCATTGGCATTCATACCACATCTCCTTATTTTTATATAGGAGAACATGTTGATTGTCCATCGTATTTTAATGGGCATCAACTTGAAAGTGTAAAGATGAGCTATACAAGAAATCTATGAAAGCCTGTTTTGGATTACAACAATGCCTAGCATCATCAAATCCTAGTGTCTCAACTTTAATACATCTTTATGACCATACAATTAAACTTATTTTAATGTATGGCAGTGAAATATGGGGAATGTTTTCAACCTGGCACTTCAGTTGCATGTAAGAAGAAGAATGATTACATTTTAGAAAAGGTTTATTCAAAAGACATATCTGAATCAAAGTGCTTGTAAACACTAAAGGGTAAAGATTGCTTTGATTTATCAGTGGGAAGTAAAATTAAACATTGCTTGGATGTAGTTGATTCAAGTACCATTATGGACAAAGGAAGATAACTCCAATTTTAAAGATTACTTCCACAATGACATCATTGATATTTTTAGAACAGATATTAGATTCCTGCACCTTGCTCAAGTTATGTAATTTTCTTGACAAGTATAACATCATTTTGTAACTTGAATATCTGAGCATATATATTTCATTGAAACATTTCTGAAAATGTTCGTGGATAGGATGTTCAGAATGGTATGATCAATGCACTATATTTGGTGTATCTCAAAAGTAGTGATAAACCTTGGAAGATTTAGATATCAAGTCAGTACCATAGGGTTTTGATTGCATTTCATGCAATCTTTACCCAAAAATCACACACAAAATTTATGAAATATATTCTTGGGGTTAACAGAAAAGCAAGTAATTTTGCTGTTATGTCTGAATTAGGAAGATTTCCTATATATTTTTCAATTTTATTGGCAATGCTAAAATATGCTCATAGGTTAGAGAACACAAAGGATGGTTTATTATATAATGCATATATTTGTAATAAATAGTTATAATATATACATGTAAAAAATATTACTACATGGTTTTCTGTTATTGATTTTTTTAATGAAAGAACTAGGCTTATCAAACAAATCTTGATAAAGATATTTACAAATTATCAAAATTTAAATTTAAAAAACTGTTTTTTCACAATTGAGATTAAAATATAACCAAATTTGGAAAAACGAAATATTTTCTGATTTTTAAGAGATGGTAATAAGAAAAATAAATTGCGTACATATAGACTGTTTAAATCTCAATTTAAATCTGAACCATATTTAGATTTGAATAATGAACAAAGACATATGATTACTAAATTTCGACTAAGTGCACATAAATTAGAAATAGAAGCAGGAAGATACAAAAATGTAGATGTAAATGA